CTTCTTCAGAAATTTCTGAAGAAGGGTCTAGGCCCGAAACGTCAGCCTTCCTGCTCCTCTGATGCTGCTTGGCCTGCTGTGTTCATCCAGCTCTACGCCTTGTTATCTCAGATTCTCCAGCATCTGCAGTTCCTACTATCTCTGAAACAACTCATTAGGTAAACAGTTTTCCCCATTCTAACAAGAAAACATGCCAATGAAAATTAAATTCTTTATTTGTTTTCCGTTTTATGTGATCAATCCATTTGTCTCTTCTGATTACAGGCCTGTGAGAAAGTTGGCATCCAGATCCCTCGGTTTTGTTACCATGACAGATTGTCTGTTGCTGGGAATTGTCGAATGTGCCTGGTGGAAATCGAAAAAGCTCCTAAGGTAATAAGAGTGTTAGTGCTTTATGATGGATTCTCAATTGGGTGAATATGCTGGACGAGATGGGCAATGGAAAGTGATGGATAGGGAAATAAATTCCATTGTCATAAAATTGAATACTTCAGTAAGAGGATTTTTGTGCCTGGGAAGCAATGATTTTTCCACAGGAAAAGAGTAGTGAGTCAACTGAGAAATAGCGTGCAATCAGCATTGTACAAGGCCATTCAACATCTCCCACTGAAGTGACTCTATTTCTGGTCTCTCTATTCCTCCTTACCTCTCATGCCTGAACACTTTCTTTACTTTCCAACACCTAAAATGCAGAATTGTCCCCTCTGTTGATAATGTGCTATTGGAGGTGGGACACTGCACACTTTTGACCAAGAAAAGAGTATCAACTTAAAACATGTTCATATTCCTGAAAAGTAAAAGTTAGTTTTAATTTCTGAAATAAGTTAACTTTCAAAACAGGTCAACAGCAAGACCCGCTTCTTAAAAATGGATTAAATAAAAAATACTACAGGTTTTGAATCTCCCTCATCAAAACCATAAATATTGAAGAGGCACCTCCATATGAGTTACTTTCTGATTTAACGTATTGCTATTATTTTGATAATTTAACTGAGTGCCAATTAGGTTTGCTTTTCTTTTTTAGCCTGTAGCTGCCTGTGCTATGCCTGTGATGAAAGGGTGGAATATTCTTACCAACTCAGAGAAAAGCAAGAAAGCCAGGTATAGTATGTTACCAGCAAAAATGAAAATTGCTGGAGAAACTCAACAGGTCTGACAGCATCTGTGGAGAATCCAGTCCAGTTACCATCTTCCTTTGTGCAAGAATGTCGCCAGGCAGCAGGCAGTTTAGGATTATTGTTTTGAGGTTAGTGATTAATGAGGGGAGCAAAGACATGGTGGCTACATTTGTACCTGATACCAAGGCTAGTTAGAAAGCATGTGATGAAGAAAACAAATAGTCTGATTTGAGTGGGCAAGAGTCTGGCAAATGGAGAAATGTGGGAAAATATGAAGTTGTTCATTTTGGCACCAAAGTGAAAAAGGAAAATATTACTTTAAAGGAGAATGACTGGAATTCCAAGATGCAGAAAAGTTTAGATGTTCTTGGTAAAGGTAAAGTTGCCATATTCTTGCCAGACCACACGGATGCGTTTTAACGTGAGTCATCACGCCTCAGGTGAGGAGAGAGGTTGAGAAGGAGAGTCTTTCATGGTAGCCTCAGCTGGTATTTGAATTGAACACATGCTGTTCTTCAAGCATATTAATAGTAAAAAATTAGTGAAGGATAGAGTCCTTTGAGGAACAAGCTGGGTAAGCTGCTCACAGAAACAAAGGACATGGCAGAGGCACTAAATGAATATTTTGCTTCTAGGACCTAGTCAGAAACTTGTGTGGAACAACTGAAAAGTATAGTGATAGTTAAAGAAGAGGTGCTAAAAAGGCTGGCAGCACTCCACGTAGAGAAGTCGCCAGGCCCAGATGGAATGCATCCTAGATTGGTGAGAGAGTTAAGGGAGAAAATTACAGAGCCCTTGACACCGTTTCCAAGCCTCTCCAGAACACAGGATTGGTCCACGGGGCTGGAGGATTGCAAATGGTACACCATTTACGAAATGGGCAAAGGATGATGTGGAAAACTACAGACCTGTCAGCTCGAGAGATGATAAGAACTGCAGATGCTGGAGTCAGAGACAACACAGTGTGGAGCTAGAGGAACACAGCACACCAGGCAGCATCAAAAGAGCAGGAAAGTTGACGTATCGGGTCGGAACCCTTCAGCTTGACATCAGTAGTAGAAGAGGGATGGTACTGTGGATGTTGTATATTTGGACTTTCAGAAATCATTTGATAAGGTGCCACATGGCATATTGGTTAGCAAATTAGAAATGCTCACGATTGATGTGTCCTTGGCAGCATGGATTAGAAATTGGCTAGAAGATAGGAAACGGGGTAGGTTTAGATGGGCATTTCTCAGATTAGAGATGAGTTGAAAGTGATGTTTCCCAGAGATCAGTGTTGGGACTCTTGCTTCTTCTGATTTTATATAAATGATTTGGAGGTGGGTTTTGAGGGAAAAATTTCTAAATTTGCAGATGGTTTTAAGCTAAGGAGAAATATGAATTATGAAGATGATGCTGAGCAGCTTCAGAGAGACGTTGACAAGTTAGCCAACTGGGAAGACAGCTGGCAAAAATGAATTTTGATGTCGAGAAATGTGAGAATGCATTTTTGTAGAAGAAACATAGAGACAAAACTTGCTCGATGGTACAATTTTGATAGGAGTACAGGAGCAGAGGGACCTCATAGTTTACGTACATGATTCTCTAAAGGTGGCCAGACAAGTTAAAACTGTTATTAAGAAGGCTTATAGGATCCTTGGGTTTATAAATTGAGATGTAGAGTACAAAAGCAAGAAACTGATGCTGCCTCTCTAAAAATCATTGGTCAGACCATATTTGGAGTATTGTGTTCAGTTCTGGGCAGGATGTTAAGGAAGGAGTTCAAAGGAGATTTGCTAGAATTATACCAAGAATGAAGAATTTTCAACACAAGGACAGATTAGAGAGATTGGGCTTACTCTCCTTGTGCAGCGAAGATTAAGAGGTGGATTTATTGAGGATTGGGTTAATTCTGCTTGGAGCAGAGAAGATCAAGGAGTGACCTTATTGAGGTGTTCAAAATTATGAGCAGTTTTGACAGGGTAAAGAAGGATATTCTGTTTCCACTATTTGGTATGTCAGTAACTGGGGATCACAATTTCAAAACTGTCGGCAAGAGAGCTAGGAGTGAGATGATGAGGAACTTATTTGGAATGTGCTGCCTGGGAGAGTGATTGCAAATTCCAAAAGGTTTCAAAAGAGAGCTGGATAAAAATTTGAAAGTGTTGAAATTAGAAGCTTCAGAGAAAAGGCTGGAGAGTGGGACTCGCTGGGTCGCTCTTTCAGGGGTCGGTACAGATATGATGGGTCGAATGGCCTCATTCTGTACTTTAAAATTCTATGAATCTCTATTGGTGTCACTCTGCATCAAAAACCAACCACCTGAGCTAACTGACTCCCCACTCTGGGCTAACCATGCTTTTTTCTACTCATGTTCAGAGAGTGAGAGGCTGACTTGATTGAAATCTATAAGTTCTGGAATGATCTTGACGTTGCGGAATAAAATAAAACCAAGAACGGATGTTGGAGTTCTGAAACAAATGAGAACAGAAATTGCTGGAGATTCAGCATCACTGGACTTGAAATGTTAACTCTGTTTTCTCCGCACAGATACTGCCAGATCTGCTGAACTTCTTCAGCAATTTCTGCTTTTGTTTTTTGACATGGTGGATATGGAAAGAATGTATTCGCTTGTGGGTCAGTCCAGAACAAGGGGACACGATTATAGAATTAGGGGAGACACTTTTTGGTTCAAGATAAATTTTTCACAGTGGGTTATGCAATGGTGGGACATTCTGCCCCAGAACGTGGTAGAGACAGGGTCATTAAACGTTTTGAGAGAGATGCAGATTGCTTCTTAGTAGGCAGGGGAATCAAATATTGTTGGGGGCAAATGGGAATGAAGACTGCTCATATGGGATCTTAATGGATGGCACAGCAGGCCTGGGCTTGGGGGGAGGATGCGAATGATCAACTTCTGCTCCTATTTGCTATGTTAGTATTATCGTCAGTTGGTGGAAATATTAATTGGGTTTATTGTTGATAGCAATTTGGGTCAATGTTTAGAAGTTTAGCAAGATCTTTCCTTTCATGAGGGGATCAAGAAGTCGGAGGCACAGCTTTAAAAATAAAAGGTCTCTCCTTAATGACAGAAATGAGGTGGAATATTCCCCAGTCTCTGTATCTGTACCCTCACCACATGTAACATACAGCCTATACTCCCCACCAATATTTTCTCAGCTTGTGTACATCTGTGCTACATTTCAGTGGTAGCGAGTCAGATGTGGATAAGAGGCAGGAGTCATTTTCTATGCTTAGTGGTGAGGTTTAGGGGTTAACTTTAGGGATTACTAGGTTTAGCAGGTTAGGAGATATGGTTACGCTCATTGATTAAGATTAGGATTTCGGGTCAGCGATCGTGGTTGTATACATGGGTTAAGGTTAAGTCTTAGTGTTCAGAGTTAAAGGTTAATGGTTATTCTTAAGATAAGGATAGAATTAAGGATGCAAAACTGAGAAAACGGAGTATGTGGTGGAGTGAATGTAGATTGGATATTTCTCCTGGCTGTAGAGTCCAGAACCTTGGGGCAAATAATTTCAGAATAAGGTGTAAGGAGATGTAGACAAATTTCTTCACGCAGAGACTGGTGAATCTTTGGAACCATCTACCCCAGAGGGCTGCTGAAGCCCATGTCATTCAGCATATTCAAGCCATAAATTGATAGATTTCTGGAAACTAATGACATCAAGGGATATAGAGATAGCATGGAAAAGTGGTTTTGAGGCAGATGATCAGCCCCATTTAATAGCAGAGTACGTTTGATGGTTTGAATGGCAGACTCCCATTCTTACGTATGAAGGCCCTTTGCAGATTACTATGTGTATATGCGTTTAAAATGAACTGAAAGCACTATTTTCTGTACTGCTCAATTGCAACCTGTACCAGTTATTAATGAAGGAAACTATTAAACTGATGTTTTTGATGTAACCTGCCAAGTTTTGTGAAGAATTGAGAAGCTCTTGTGGTGGGGGGGAAGGGACAGGGAAAATAACTTGCAAGAAGGAGAAAGACTGTGGGAATGCTCTCCAATAGACTAAAATGTCAGGTTTTTGGATTGGATTGAGCAGTATTGGTAAAATACATACAGTGTACCCAGGAGACCCACCAAGTTCCACCGATGCACTGTGTCTTCGTGGGCATCGACTATTCAGTGTACAACAAAAATTGTGCTTCACTATCCTGTGTATAATTGTATCTAACTATTGTGCTTCATTTTTGCTTTGCCTTAATAGGGAAGGTGTGATGGAGTTTCTGCTGGCTAATCACCCATTGGATTGTCCCATTTGTGATCAAGGAGGGGAATGTGATCTCCAGGTATCACTGCTATTGATAGTAATGAATGTAAAAAGACTTTGCTTACATGAGTGAAGATATAATAGGATGAAGATGTTATAATCCTGGTGGCTTCCATCAGTTTTACTTGTGTTCCATGCCTATAAATGAGTTTCATTCTCCTATAAACTGTAGTATATCTGGCAGTGCCATACTGCCTAGGTATCAGACCAAAGCTGTTTTACTGAAAGATATTCGCTGCTAAACTTTCTTGTTACCATACTACTTTGAACAAACCCTGTGGACAGTGAGACTCATGCTATGAATCAGGTTTATTAAAACTTAAGATGAAATGGGAGCAAAAAATTAATACAGATGAACTTGTAAGTTGGACCTCCTGAATAACAAAGTGGAGTACTTCACAGCCAATAATATTGAATCCTAGGTAACTTCATTTATAAGCCACATAATGAAGATTTCGGCTGTGGGTTCCTCAGGTGCTCACTTAAACACGAACTGCAATGTAATATGCAGGATGAAGATCTGATACTGGCTGATGTGGAAGTTATTTCCCTTCCTCAAAGCTGATGGCTAGTGGCCTAGGAATTGCCTGCTACCTTAGAACACATTTGATGGCAAGTCACCACCTTTAAAGTGATAACAGTTAACTTTGTTCAGATAAAAGTTTCCACCACCTGTTTGCTTTGTGAGATCGTCTTCCAGCCCTGTGTGTAGTATATTCAGAATATGGTTTAAGCTCCAAAAAGAAAGAAATTACACCCAAGGACATATACTTTGAAGCTTCCATTGAATGTTTGTGCTGAGGAATGGAGGTTACCCTGTTTTGTGGCAATAGTGTTAATTTATCTATTGTTGATGGGATGCATGCAATAATGTTCAGTCATCAGGTATGCATCTGATTTAAATGAATTATACCAGTTTCAAAACTATGTCAAATCATGATGGATTACATTCCTATGGGTATAGAAGATAAAGGTAGAGGGTTGCAGCTGATTAAAGGATTTGAGATTGTAAGATCTATTCTGTTCTGATGGCAACATCCAGAAGAACTTGGGGTACAACCTTAACATTGGAGCTGGGTCATTTCAGGGATGATATCAGAAGGTGCTTCTTCATACAAACAGGGATGGAATTCTGGAACTCTCCCTCCACAAAAGTTCTTGAGGTTGTGAGGCATTTGAATGTTTGAAACCGAAAATAAGTTGTGTTTTGTTGAGTAAGGATGATACAACCAAGATGTCTGTATATGGAGTTAGTGTACGACTCTGCTATTAGCTAACTAGGTAGTGTAATTGGCTTGAGGGGCTCAATATTGCTCCAAGCAGCAATTGAAAGAAGAACTTCAGGATGCAGGGGAAAGGTGCAGAGTGTTTGAAGAGAAGAGCTGAAGCACGAGGGAAAGAGGAAAAAGAGAGTCAAAAATTCGTACTGAGTGAAATTGTAAAATCTTTATATGAATACCATAGATAAATGTTGTTTCTATAATGAAACTAATGAAGAATGACAAGACAAAGGTATAGGCCAAGGAACACCTGGAGAGTTCACAGAATCACAGAATTGTTGTAATGCAGAAAGAGGCCATTCAGCCCATCATATTTGCACTTGGTCACCAACTGAGCATGACAATTTAATGCCATTCTCTTGTCTTTTCTCTGTAATTCTGCACATTGTTTTTGAATAGAATCAATCATGTCATACCATTTTGAATATCTCAGTTGAACCTTCATCCACCACACTTCTAGGCAGTGCCTTCCAAATCCTAACTTTTCTCTGTGTGAAAAAGGATTTTTTTCTTGCATCATATTTGCTGCTTGTACAAATTACTTAATATCTGTTCCCTCTCATTCTTGATTCTTTTCTGAGCAAAATGTTCCTCATTGAATTGTTAGGTAAAGCCTAGTTTTATTAAAGGTTCAATGAGATTAATTGTAAGAATATTAAAATTGGCTCGATTGAAGATGAATCTGTCAGAATTCTGTTTGGCGCCCTTGAAGGTAAAATGAGCTTCAAATGAGTGCTCCAGATAGTTTGATAAGTTATAAGATTAAAATTCAATCACTTTACATTTATAAGTCACATGGTTGCATATTGTAGTGCTTCAGAGGTTATATATCTACATATTTATTAAAAGCTTTATGTTTGCATGATTTCCTGTCAACTCTTATTATTTGTTCTGTAAACTTGTCATGCTATAATTACAATTATCCCCCAGTGGAGGTCCTGTACTTACATTTTCTGCCTATCTAAACTTGTTATAATTGTATGAAATGGGAAACCCAAGCAGCGCAGACAGCAATTGCATGCAGTTGTGGTATACTTCATTAGATATTTTCTCTCTCAGACGCTGTATGATATAGCCAGCCATTCTTATTTACTGTCTGCATGTCTGTTACTTGATGACTGTTTGTTTGTTTGCCATTCCAATTTTATACTTACTGTGTAATAATTGTAATTGATGTAGGATCAGTCAATGATGTTCGGCAGTGACCGAAGCAGATTTACAGAGGGCAAGAGAGCTGTAGAGGATAAAAACATTGGACCTCTTGTGAAAACAATAATGACGAGGTGTATCCACTGCACACGCTGTATCAGGTAACTGTCCAAATCTACTGTGTTTGTTAAAACAGTTATTTGAGTTCTTCCAGAAACCTAGTTGATGAATTCCCAGCCTGCCTTCGCAAGCATTCATACAGACAAGAAGTTCTATAAAAGTATGGCTGATGTCACCTGTGGAAAGAATTGTATCCCCGAGGTATTGGCTGTGGCTCATTGGGTAGTATGTACTCCTCTGAAGTCCCACTGTATATACTTGAATAAAAATGTCTCTGCTGACACACCAACATAGTACTGAGAGAATGCTGCATTGAGGAAGGTGAAATGCAATATTAAGCTGAAGGCCCATCTACCCTTTGAGGTGGACATAAAAGATTCTGTGGCATTCTTTTTGAAGAAGACCAAGAAAATGTCCTAAACAATATCAATCCCTCAACTAGCATCGTTAAAATAATTTGGTTATTTTCTTTTTGCTGTTTGAGGGAACATGCTACACACAATTTCACTCCCTCACTTCTTAGATTACAATTAAATACTTGGGCTTTAAACTATTTTGGAACATCTTGGAATTGTGAAAGACACAGGTGATTATCAATTCTTTCTTTTACAAAATATTCTGCATTTCCACATCAGAGAGGGGATAAAAATCATCAAAGAATACAACTTATTTTTCTTCACCTATCAGTTGGATTTGGTAATCTTCGGACTCATACCTGCACACTAGCAGAAGAATATAAGAGTAATTTTGCCTCCACAAACAGCACCTTAACTTTTGACATTGCACGTCTTTAGACTTTGTCATGGTACAGCTGTAAATGACAAAACATGTGCTCGGCAATTTGTTGCATTTGAAACCCCTCATTTGGGGAAAATGGAGTAGTGGGAGAGAGGGAGGCCTGGTGGAAGGCAGGGGTGTGGTTTCTACATTCCTAATAGGTGCAAAACACGAAGGTCCTTTTGATACACTTTAAAAATGATGTCTTGCACGTAACGGGGAGATCCATAATTTCCTTTTACTTTGCTGAACACACACACACTCAATTCTGGGAGGGACTTGTAATTCTCCTTCATCTTTACACAGGTTTGCCAGTGAGGTAGCAGGAGTGGATGACCTGGGCACCACAGGAAGAGGAAATGAGATGCAAGTTGGCACATATATCGAGAAAATGTTCATGTCTGAAATGTCAGGAAACATCATTGATCTTTGCCCTGTCGGAGCTTTGACATCTAAACCTTATGCCTTTACATCCAGACCTTGGGAGACCAGGTGTAGTATATCTTCAACTGTTCCTTGCTGCACCCTGTTGCTGTATCTTAGTTTTGCACGCTTGTACATTTCAACTGTGTACTCAGCAATGTGGATTGTTTGAGATGCACTGCACCACGGGTTAGGAGCACATACGTGGCAAAGAACGTAGGACAAAAAGCAAACTTTTCAGCCCTTTAAGCCAGTCCTACCATTCAGTCAGATCATAATTGATCTGCCCCTCGATTCCATTTAGCTGCCTTGGTTCCAGCTTCCTTAAAATCCTTGCCAGATTAAAAAAAAAAACACCTTCTCCCTTATAGCGCCTTTTGGACCATGACCCTACCATGAAACAACAAGTGCTTGTTTCCAGAACAATCACTAACCCCTCTCCTCCAGTAGATAGCTCGTATTTCTTGAATAATTTGTCAGCGGTCTGTGTTCTTATTTCACTCCAGACCTTGACAACCAATTCACACAGGGTTATTCACATCTGAGCCTGATGCTGCCTCCTTTGATGAATGTCTTCTCTTCTCCAATCATCCAGTCCTGTCACTTCTAACTAATGCTATCCTTGAAAGGCCTGTTTCAAGAGACATCCCAGATAAGAGATTTTTCTTTGTGTAATCCTGTTTGAAAATTCCATACATTTTCCTCCGCCACATGTTCAAGCCGCATCCACCCATCCGCATCAAGATGAAGATCACATGTTTTGGGAATTGCTGTTTGGGAGTATTTTCTCTTGAATATCACAGTTGGCTTAAGCTCTGTACCGTAATAGCTCAATGCTGAATCTAATATTTTCTTAGACAGTTGTCTTCATTATCACCAATTTCACTACAACTTTTGCTCACCATTTGACTGGAGTGATGTCAAAATTTACGCAAGTCTCATCCATATTCTAATACAGGCCAATCTGATCCATTCTTTTGTTGATGTTTGATTACAACCTGCTGTAATGCAATAAATCTGTCATCAGGTTCAGCTGAGAAACCGTGTAAAATCTTGATCTGACACAGTGCAAAATTGTTTACCTTCATAATAAACTTGGTGTAGTGTCCAGGTCTGCATTTGAAGTCTGCATTGCCTAAGTTTTTTTTTTTTTTTGCTTATTTTGGGGCGAAGATTCAGGTCAATCCATAAGAAACTGAGAGTTCATTCTGGGGATTTTCATTGATGTATTTTGCAACTTTGTCTTCCAACTATGGCACAAATTTCTGCATGCACGTTCTAAAACAACTACATCAGCTATGTAGAGAATGTCCTCCAATCTCTAAAATTCTTCTCTAATACCTTGAATTCTCTAGCTCTTGTACAATTGTTTGTCTGCTCTTCAATCTAAATTTCTTTTGAGTTTGATCTAGCCGTGTGTAGCTAGTCACCATGCTGCCAAATTCATGTGCAGGATTGACAGGAATGCAGTGGGTACCAACAAGGTTATAACCTGGACTTGTTGACATGTGCAGCTAGGACGTGCTGAAATGGTGTGCTGTTCAGTAATTCAGTCAATACATGGGTCTGCACCAGGACAAGTTTTATTTCGATGGTGAGCATTTGGTAATTTTTTGGAGCTTGAATCTTGGCCAAACGTTAGGGATCAGTTTTTTCACAAGGTCAACCATTACTCGAGTATATATTCAAAGAAATAGTAGCTTTGAAATTGTCATTTAGGTGGCTATTCCCAGCAGCCTCAAGTTTTTGTGGGAAGTTTTCAGATTTCCATCACACTTTACATAATGAATTACTTCCTTGAATCATCATCATTACTCTTGAATGGCCTAACTCCAAGGTCATCACCTTTGTTCTAGAGCAAATACTTTTTGCCACCAGAGCAAATACTTTCTGCCTTTTAAACATCTCATGAAGGTTTTCTGAAGAAGGGTCCCGACCCAAAATGTCAACTTTCTTGCTCCTCTGATGCTGCCTGGCCTGCTGTGCTCCTCTAGCTCCACACTGTTATCTCATGAAGATTGCCCCTTTAACTTTCTAAACTCAAGGAGATACAAGTATAGTCTGTGAAACCTGTCCTCATAATTTAACTATTTTGGACTGTATATCATTCTCGGGATTTAAAATTTCACCTTCACGCATCAGAGTTATACTGCCACCTAAAGTAACTGGAGAGATCTAAAGAGATTTTACCACCGAAGTTCATGCCAAAGATACTTATATCTAAACACTACGTAAGTTTCTTGTGATGTGCTGTGTTCTGGGATTCTGCTCAAGTGTAAATAGGTTTGATGAGTGTAATGCTCAAATCATGTCACAATTCCTCAACTTCTGCCAATTAAATTTAACTTTGTCACAAATGGCATCATGTTTTTTACAAACAGGAAGACAGAGTCCATTGATGTGATGGATGCTATTGGAAGTAATATCGTCGTGAGCACCCGGACTGGAGAAGTGATGAGAATCCTGCCAAGGTTAAATGAGGATGTGAATGAGGAGTGGATCTCTGATAAAACCAGGTGAAGGATTTTAACATGACAATGTGTTTTGTAAAAGTACTGCACTCAAAATCCTCCAGCTGTCTAATAGTTTGGTATGATTTATGAAATGTTATAAAAGTGAGGTGGAAGAGAAATTTCACTCCTTTCATGTAAGAAGCCATGACCCAGTTGAAACATTTTATTTTGGAGTCAGAAGGTTCTAGATCCAGGTGCCTGTTCAGAGACATCGGCACAAAATCTTACCTGATGCTTAAACATAGTACTAAGGGGCCTGTATTGTTAGAGTTGCCATTTTTCAAGTGACATGTGAAACAAAGATCGCACTTTGGGCAAATGTAAAAGATTTCATGGTTTATTTCCAAAGGAGAGTTCTTCCCAGGGTCTTAATCATTGTTCTGTTAACTGCAACTAAAAACAGATAAGCTGGCAACTTCTGCATTGTTCTTTGTGGGAGTTTGATGGGTGCAAATTGACTGTTATGCTTCCTAATTTTATCATAACTAAATTTCAAAGTAACTCATTGGCTGTTAAGGTCTTTCTAGCCCAAGAGGAAGAATATGGCATATACTAGGCTGTTGAAATTACAGTCAGTTCGTTCAAAGAGAATTCCATTCACTGTCCTGCTCACTTAGACTTTCCTGTTGTCCCTGCATTTTTCATTTGAAATATTTATCCTGTTTCCTTTTGAAAGCTACTTTGAATCTTTATCTACAATCTTGCCAGGGGAATTCCAAATCCTGACCATTCATTATGCAATGGTTTTTCCTTTCATCGTCTTTTTAGTTCTTTTCTATACATCACTGGGGTCATGCACTGGAAATTGAGCCCCTTTGTTCTCAAAGTGATCACAAAAGTTGTTTAAAAAAATAAATGCAGAATTCCCCAATTAGCCTGTCCTTTATATTTAGGTTGTTAGAAACACAGACCATTTTTCTGTACTTCATGGGTTACTATTTATTTCAAATAAATACACTGTAAGGACGGATAAAGAATTAGGAACTGTAACTAGTCAAAGTTCTAACCCACTTAAACTCTCCATTTACACACACAGTCAGACAGACATGGACATTACAGTTTAATGGTTTTACACATGACAATTAAACCTTTTGCAGACAATGCACGACTTCAATCCCTCATCCTTGGAACCTCATGGCTCAATGAACAGGATACAAATATTGATAGAATGCAAGAGAATTAGTTCAGTGCAGGGATATGGTCTTTAATGTAGAAAGTTTACTATTCCGTACAGGAAATATAATGTAAATACACAGGAAAGATGTCATGAAACACACCATGTGCAGCAAGCCTTTGTGCTTCTGCTTCTCTGAAATACTGATATGAATTTTTGGGGGGAATTTGTTGATTTATTGATTTTTGAAAGTGGGTGTGATTTTTTTTTTCCCACTTATTTTGCTCTGCAGGTTTGCATATGACGGCCTTAAGCGTCAGCGCTTAATTGTTCCCATGGTTAGGGGTTCGAAGGGGCAGCTGGTGTCTGCATCCTGGGAGGAGGCATTAACACAGATTGCTGAAGTGGTAAGAAACTGCCCTAAGTTGCAATGAGCTGAACATATTCAGCAAACATTGTGGACTCGAAGATAGAGGGCAACTTTATGTGACAGAGCTCACCTACTCATTAATCCAACATAATATCTGTTTATTATCCTTGGAAAGCAAAATCCTCTCTTGGTTCATCCCTTCTTAGCTCTTTAAAGTGCTCTAGCCCCACGGTTCCCTTTCCTCGTATGGAGATTGGTGGATGGTCAGAACCTAGACATTTTCCATGACACCCACAACATAGGGCTGGCTGCTAAGGATGGTGGGCACCTGTCTAGGGTGCCATGATCAAGTGTAACCAAATGTGTGGCTGCTGGATATATGCTGCGTTTCGGCTGTTCCATTGCCCCCCCACTGGTATGCTGAGGGATGAAGAATTTTCCTTATGGCTGTATGAAACCAAAGCTAATCTTAACTGAATGCAAGGTTTAAAAATAAGAGTTAAGTAAACATTTAAATGATTTAAAATTGCCGCAAGTTTTGGTAGAGGAGATGGGGAGAAACTGCTGTCACTGCCAGGAGAATTAGTTATCCGGGGGCTTAGAGAATTGGTAAAAGGGCCAAAGGAAAAGATGAGGACTTTTTCCTTTATGCAGTGAGTTGATCTCATCATGAATGCACTGCCTGTAGGGTGATGGTAACAGAACTACTTGTAACTTTCAAAGGGAATTTAAGATAGACTGTACAAGGCAAGATCACTATATTATGAGGCAAGAGCAGGGAAGAGGTACTAATTTGATCGTTCTTTCAAACATGTGACACAAGTGGGATATGACAAATGGCTCCTGTGCTGTTATATTGCTATGAAATCCAAGATAATTTCCTCCTTCCTAGCCCTCACCATTAACATTAATATTGTGGCTACAGTTGCAGGGAGTACAGGATAAAGGTGTGGCCGCCATTGCTGGAGGAATGGCTGACGCTGAGGCTCTTGTGGCCCTGAAGGACATGATCAACAGGTTAAACAGTGATGCATTGTGCACAGAGGAGATCTTCCCAATGGCTGGAGCTGGGTAAGATTGCCACACTTGTTCATCATTGGAGAATATAGTACAGAATCAGATATTAAACCCAAGACGATGTATAACAAGTTGCAGTGAGACAGTGACACACTGAAGTTGTTTGCTTTTTGAGATGTGTAAGAGTAGCATTCCTGGTTAAATCCCTTGCATCTGTCATTGGAAGCTTCAATTTAACAATAAAACAAGTTCAATTCATATTTAGATAGCACATTTCACAGCTGGTGGATGCCCCACAATTCTTTTATCCTGCCCCTGTAAGGTAGGCACTGTAAGGTAGGAAGCAGATCAGTGGAAAGTTATCGCCCTCTAATGGCAGGAATTTTAAACTATTTTGCTAATTCCCTGCAGTCTTTACGTACCATTGCTTCAGCTTTTCCTTTACAGAGCATAAAGCAAGGTGTAACACAGAGTGTTTTGTTTGACTGTTTCCTGTTTCCAAACAGTACTGATTTGCGCTCCAATTATCTCCTGAATACCAAAATTTCTGGAGTAGAGGAGGCTGACGTTTTGCTGCTGGTCGGCACCAACCCACGCTATGAAGCCCCACTTTTCAATGTTCGAGTCAGAAAAAGGTCAGTACGTGAATGATTGTGAATTTGGAAAAAAAAATTGCATACCCTGGGTGCACAGGGCTTCTGTTCTTTGCTTGTTAATGTTTCCTTTTGCTCACTGACTTTGGTGACACATTCGCTGACAAAACTGCAATAACAATTTGCATTTATATAACATGTTCAACATCACACAATATCTGAGGACCCTTCAAATAATAGTATTCAAACAAAATTTGATGTTGGTTTACAAAGTGTATAGAAAAAGTAGGTGATCAGAGCTTGGTCAAATACATTATATTTTAAAGAGCTTATTAAAGGAGGAAAGAGGCAGGAAGTTGAAGAGTTTTAAGGAGGGAATTTCAGGCTATAGAACTAGCAGCTGAAGACACAATTGCTAATAGTGGAATGACTAAATCAGGGATTGCAAAGGCCAGACATAGAAGGAGGCAGTGACCTTGCAGGTTTGTAAGCCTGGAGAGATCACACATGTGCAAAGATCTTTATTAAAACCTGAAGCTCTGACCAAGCTTTTGGTTACCTGTATTAACACTTTGAAGAACTTTGGATTTTGAGAGAGAACTCTCCTGTAAAGTGTCTTAGAGTTGAATGGTGCTGATTAGATGCAAGTTTATGTATATACGACACCTTGGCTCTGATGGGAGTACATTTGGAACAGAAGGGCTTAAGCTACATAACAGTGCTAATGGCCAACGGATTAGCAGGTCCTTGAACTTGTGCAAATTTGTTGGACCTTGCTGTCTTATAGGTGTACATAATTAGACCCAAATCAACTGTTTTTGCGATGCAGTTTGAGCACGGTTACTCGAGAATTTACTTGAGGCTGCACCTAAGGATACCATAAAAACAAAGTGCTTTTATCTTTGATGTGAACTGTGCTGTTTGATGCTGCACATTGAGAAAATTTGTGACATTGTTTGTATAATGTTATTTAATCTTGGAAACCCCATGGATGTTCTGTACTGAGTTTGCAACTTTGAGCAAGAGTGCATTGTTGCACTTCCATGTTCCTGGATGCCTGCTTCTTCTCACTACATTGTGTGGACATAATCAGACTCCACTATGACCTCTGGTTCTTTGGCTGCTCTTCCTCCTCCACGTGCAGTAATAGAATATTTTGCATACATTGGTTCTCAAATCCCACATGTGAAGAGCAGCAGCTTGGGGCACCTGTGAAAGCGTATTCCTACTCCAAAATGTTATCACCTTTTTGAGAGAGTTGGGAGGGAAGGGCAAATGAGCATTTTTCTTGTCAAGTTAAGCAGTTGCGGATTTGTTTGAAATTCCATTCAATGCCGAAATCAGTAAAGTCATAAAAATGAATGACCAGTTATAACCACAGAACAGGCCATTCAACTCAACCTATTTATCTTATTGATCACCCTCCATGAAAGTAAATAATTCTGACCGCACTTGCTCAGCATGCTCCTGAGATTGCTTTCCACACTTTTCCTTCACTTGCATGTCTAATCCAATATCTATCAGTGCAAAACGTTTGCAAACTCCACACATCAAGCTTTCAGTCTGCAATTGTGCAGACTAGGGGATAGGCAGAGAGAGAACTAACGTGCCCAGCAGTCAGCTATAGATAGGTATTGAGTGAAAAAAGGATTCTAACTGGAGAAGTAGGGTAAAGTTAAAGTCACCATTGTTCCAAAGAACCATAGGGCTGCTCTCATCAGAGAAAGATGAATGTCGGTGGTTTAACCTGACGGTCACCACATCAAAGACAAGAGACAAGGCTGAGAAGATGGGACATTTGTGGTAATCTCAGCTAGTACAGGAAATGAACCCGCACTGTCAAGCCAGCCGTCTAATCAACTGAAATATACATATTATTCTTTCACATGTTACTTAACTGAGCATTTCCAGCAGTATCTGTTGCCATTCATTAATTGAAGCCATTAAGGACTCAGTAATAGGTTGTATTGCATAAAACTTGATTTGCCCCTTCCAAATGTTTGTGCTTATTTACAGCTGGCTGCACAATGATCTCCAAGTGGCTTTAGTTGGGACCAACGTGGATTTGAGCTACAGCTACAATCACCTTGGAGACTCTCCACAGGTGTTACAGGAGATTGCTTCAGGAAAGCACCCTTTCAGCCAGGTACAGCCTATGTCTCCAGGTTATCCTGATTATGTGCCATGTAAATACATACCATGTTGTTATAATTCATCTCTCATTCGCATTTGATTTAATGTTGTTGATGGAGCAGCGGCTATATACTTGGTGCCACTGGCATGGAATTGACTTCCACCAAAGCATAATAAATGTTGACTCATTTGAAAATCTTGAGAATAAATTTGACTCAATCATCAGGGAATAGAGCAGTTTGCCCTCCGGACATGATAAAAGGACAGTTATAATATGGGGACTTCGATTGAGAAAGCTAATGCTCTATAACAATTCTATGTTTTCTTAGAACTATGTGTCTTCTCCATTTCACAATGATTTCTGTAAGTGAATCTGATAATTTGCAAGAGTTGTGAAACTCTGAGGATGAACAATGATCATTTCTTTGGAAGTATATATACAATGTTTTATACAGTATTTTGGTGAATGCTAAAACAGACTTTTTCAAATAGCTGTACTATTTAATGTTAAAGAGGGAGCTGAGTGCAAAAGACTTGACAAAATGATGTCGGATGTAAACCTTCCCGACATGAAAGAAAGTCCTCAATGGGTTGAATTACCTTGAAGTGAAGTTACTTTATGATTTTTAAAAAAAGTAAGCTTCAGATTTCTTTACACATTTATCAAACGAAGTTCTTAATTATTCTTTGTGAAAAGGCAAGTTGGTTTTTTTTTTTTGCATTCGTATCAGTACAGGTTCCCAGCATGGAAAAGTTCATGATCTGTCTTTAACTGTTCAACCTGTTCAAATTGAGAGATGAGGCAAAAACTTGATGTGTTCAAAATTTGTAATGCAAAGCTATCTTAAACACTTCAAATATAGTGATGTAAGTTCAGAGCTCTACAAAAATATACACCATTGGAATTTCCTTTTCTTAGTTGCTAAAAATTAACTCTGATCATAGACTCTTCGGATAATTCCATTTCACTTGCACCCACCTTGAGAACCAATTCCTCTTTGACAATTTAAAGTTCATTCGATTAAACACCAAAACATCTCTTTGATTCTGTTCAGCAATGGTCACCTGAGCTTTGTTTTAAGCAATAAAAGCTAAATTCACTTTTGTGAAAAGCTCTGTTTGTGCTTGCACAGGCATGTTAGTAGGGTGTGCTGTGTTTCTGTGAGTTACTTGGGTCATTTAGACCCTGGTCTGTGAACTACTTGTAACAGCAATAACATAAACACACAAACTTATTCAGTTTTGTGTCTGAGGAACAATTTAATTGACAGGGGGAAAAAAAAACAATAAATTGGTTGATTCAGTGTCCAGTTACCAGATTAGCATTTGAAATGTTTATTTTGATTAGAGAAATATCTCTATTTGCGATAATTAATTTAAACAGTCAATCAATGTAATTGAGAAACATTCAGAGCAATAGTTTGTAACTGGTATAGTTATAGCTACTGGAGTTACTAGAAAATTGTAAAATCGTTCCTACATTGACTGCAAAGTGGTAAGACCAACCGGTACACTGACCTTGTATTTTTGTTTTTCCTTTTGCACCCTCTTCCAAAAACCAGGTCCTGAGTAAAGCGAAGAAGCCCATGGTGGTGGTGGGCAGTTCAATTCTTCAGCGGAGTGACAGTGCAGCAATACATGCCGCTGTCAGCACCATTGCACAGAATGCCCGAGCAGGCAGTGAAGTTGGAGATGACTGGAAAGTTTTAAACGTCCTTCAGAGGTCAGAAATGTGATCGATGAAGCAGTGAAAGCGTTTTGTAATTTGGATGTGAGCCTTGATGTTTTGGTGGAATACTCCCTAAACTAAACCTCACAGGTTCCAGTTTCAGCACCACCCACTGCACATCTCTTCCCAGTTTTGAATTTAGTCAGATTACAGTACAGAATCTCACCCCTTCTCACCCTTATCCACGTTGTACACTGAAACAACGTGAATTTTTCTAGCACCTATGACAGCCTCAGGAGACCCCAAAGCTCTCAGCAGCAAATTAAATTTTCTTCCTATATACCTGGAAATGTAGTGGAGCAGGTTCACTTGAGGTGTTCAAGAGGCCATGGATGATTTGGTTAGAAATAGTGTGCAAGGGTATGGTTAAAGGAAACTGGAGATTGGCACTAGATAATGATGCTCAGTTGAAGAGCTAGTGCAGGCATGTTGAACCAAATAGTCTCCTATGATGTAATAGCTCTGTGATTTTCCAAGTCTAGTCCCTGTTGTAGTGCAGGAAATGCAGCAGCCACTTGGCGCACAGAAAGCTCCCACAAACAACAATGTGATAATGAGCAGATAATCTGCGTCAGGAATGTTGAGAATGAAAATATTAACAGGACACTAGGGTGAGTTCTCTTGTTCTTTCAAACTGTGCCTTGGGATCTTTTACACTGACTTTAGTGAGCAGACGGGTCCTTGCTTTAACTTTACATCTGAAAAATGGCACTTTCAATATGATGGTATTGCCTCAGCACTGGATTCGCAGCTTATATTTGATGCCCATGTTTCTGGAGTAGGGCCCTCTATCTCTCAGATGAGAGTGCCACACACAAAGTCGCAAATGTAATACAATGTTGAGTCAGTGATTTATGTTTATAGCACTATTTCAGCGATCTATTGATCTTAAAAGATTTTATGCTTGATCTTGGGAACTGCTGAGTTCTATAATACATACCCACAAGCTACAGATCTCCAATGGTACTATTGATGTCACGCAACGTACAGTTTCACGCAAAAATCTAGCAGGAAGTGCATATAATGCTTGTGGAGGTATGAAGTATACATGTGATTTTCAACACATAACGATTAGTGTGTGCAAATATCCCTTGCATCTCATAAACAGAATATATCACCACTCAAAGTATCCCATTTTCTGAAATGAGACAGAATGATCTTCAGACAAAAGGAAACCAGTTTTTTGTTTGACGTTGGACATTCACACATCATTCCAGCTATCTTTGGTGCTTTATAGACTTTAATGCCTTGACTGCCCCTCCACACCTTGCACTTCACAGCCAATGAAACAATTTATGTGAATGCAGATTTGTTCATTCAAATAAAGTTGGCAGGTTTTTAATATCAGCTGACTACTAAGAAGGGATAAATTTAGAATACAGCTTAATATCTGAAGGAAGACAGCTCCCATTCTCAAGAGAAGTCGTTCGCAACTAAAAATGGTAACTTTTTCCACAGATGCAGTCAAACCTGCTGAATTTCTCCAGCATTTTCTGTGTCTGTTTAAGGTTTCAACGTCCATAGTGTTTTGCTTTTATCCCAGCAGTGTAGCACTCCCACAACACTGCACTGAACTGTCAACTTAAATAATGTGCATGTGGCCACTCGACCCTCCAACTAACAAAGCTATGAGAATATCATCAAAAAATAATGCCAATAATTTAGTTGTGGTCTCCAATAAATTCCATAGAATTTTACAGCATAGAAATGGGCCATTCAGCCCAACTGGTGTGTTCTAGAAATCATCCTCCGTACAAGACTCCTCCCATCTAACTTCACTTTTTACAAAACATTGTATTTCTTTCTTTCTCATGTCCTTATCTAGCTTTGTCCTTAAAAGCAGCAATGCTGTTCAGCTGAAATATTCCATGCTGTCATGAGTCCCAAATTTTAACAATTTTTTTGTAGTCACGTTTGGATTTGGCATTGGTGTCATCCTCCCAGCCCTTCAGTTGAATTGTTCTCATTCACTCAAGCAATTTTTAAGAATGATATTAGTGGTGATGTATTTTGGATGTGAGGAGAGTCAAATTAAGTTAGGATGGTTCTCCTTTGCACAGCGAATGTTAATAGGATGTTTTTACAGAGATGATTAAAATTCTAAAGAGATTTGAGGTAAGGAGAAACTGTTTCCACTGTCAGGACACATTTCGTATAACAAAAAAAAAACTGTGGGTGCTGGAAATCAGAAACTAAAACAAATTGCTGGAAAAACTTAGCTGATTTGGCAGCACCTGTGGAGAGAAAGTAGAGTTAACCTTTCGAGCCCAGTGACCCTTATTCAGAATGTTGTTTTTGTTGTGTTTATTGCACAGATTTCATTTAATTGGCAAAAGAACAGAAGGGTGCATGAGATTTTCTTCCCATCAATGAATTAAGTTTCAGAATTCATTGCCAAAGAAGGCTAATGAAAACCGGTTTAACAATAATTTTGGAATAGGAGTTCCATATGTACTCAAAAGAATTTGTAGGAATGCAGCTGAATGAGTGAGGGGGTAATTTGATAATTCTTTCAAAAGGTCAGCACAATGAACTGCATGGCCTTCTCCTGAAGGGTATGTTTGTATGAAATTAGAGATTTAAACTCAAAAACCTTTTACTGAGGCAGCATGACAAGTTATGTCCTGATTTCTGGCCTATGTTGTAATCAGTTTGTAGTTGTTTATTTGATGTGAAGTAACAAAGACACATGTGTTCATGCAGGGTAGCCAGCCAAGTAGCCGCTCTGGATTTGGGATACAAAGCTGGTGTTGACTTTATCCGGAAAAATCCCCCCAAAGTACTATTCCTTCTTGGAGCAGACAGTGGCTGCATCACAAGACAGGACCTTCCAAAGGACTGCTTCATCATTTATCAGGGTAAGTATCAGGTCAACTGTCTACATTATGCTGTTGAACCTCCTGACATAATGCGTGTATAGTGGCTGCTGACTCTCCATTCAACTGTAAACAGTTCTTGACTGGGGCAGAGATTGAATCCTATGTCTGAAGGAGTAGTTGAGTCTGCAGTCTTTTGACTGAGAGTGCTCCTGTTGGATAGTGGCCTCACAATGCAGGGCCACGGTTTTAAAAGCTAGTCATGATTGGAGACCTTCTTTGGGCATCTTGCCTCACAGGCGACGAGCAACATGTTTAGAAATATTGTAGAAGAAGAATAAATTACACCCTTTTGAATTTGAGGTTAAATCCTATGAGGTAGAACAAATGGAACTGTCCTGTATTATGCAACCAGCTGCAAGATACCAGATCTGAAATTGCCTGTTGCTGACTGTGTTGCCAACTTTAATTGCTTTGTCTTGATATCCCTGAACTTGACAAATGGAAAATTTAAAAAAATAAATTTGCACACTGCAGTGTCAAATGACCATTGACTTTCCGTGTTCCCCTTTTAGGACATCATGGAGATGTTGGAGCCCCCATGGCAGATGTTGTTCTACCTGGAGCTGCTTACACAGAGAAGAAAGCAACATATGTCAACACAGAGGGCCGTGCCCAGCAGACCAGAGTGGCAGTAACAGCACCTGGCCTGGCCAGGGAGGATTGGCAAATTATACGTGCACTTTCTGAGGTATAGTAAAGCTTCCATGAAATAGAAACAGTGACAGGAGGAGTCAGTTCAGCCCTTGAGTCTATTTCCTCATTTAATTAGTGAAATGGAGGCTGACCTCCAGCTGCTGCGTTTGGTCACCTTCTTTTTTTTTTTTTCTTGCCTGGCTCCATTTGCTACTGTGGAGGACCATGAAAATCCAACCTCCCAAAGATAAAGCAAGACAAAAAGTTTCAAGTGCAGTTCCATGAGAAAGCATGGCAATTTGAGTAATTCAGAAATTTTCTGTTGGAGTATACAAAATAATGACTAAGCCTTCTTATATTCTCAAATGTTATTCCTTTTAGAAATTAAATATCCACGTGTTTATAGTGATCCACATGCCAGGGGACAGAGCCTATCAAAGTGTTTTTAATATAACTATTTTTACACTGTTGCTGTTTAGCATCCATCAGCCCTTTCTCAAGTTGGTGATAGATGTCATGCTCCTCAGAGCACAGTTGTGTAATCTAGAACAATTCCTTAATCCACCACTTTCTGGTCTGGCTCAGTCAAGCTCACATGAATCCCGAATAAAACACATTGTTGTCTCTGGTGCGCTTATCATTGAAAGAAAGAAATACTTGGATTGATAGAGTATCTTTCACAACTTCTGACATCCCAAAGGACTTTGCAACTGATTGAAGTAATATTGAAGTGTTGTGATATAGGAAGTACGGCAGCCAGTTTATGCACAGCAAGATCTCACCGTGATGTGATAATGATCAAATAGCCAGTTTTCTAACGTTGGCTTTGAGGTACTAGTAATGACAAGGACACCTGCAAAAAGTCCTTCATGTTTTTGTTTGAAATAGTACAGTATCTTCTGTTTTAACATTCACTAAGTGTGGATGCAGGGCCTTGATTTAACACCACATTTAGAAGAGAGTGGCTGTGATGCTCCAGTGCAGTACCAAGGGAGTGTTGGCCAATCAGAGTAGATTTTGAGCTTAAATCTCTCAACTAGGGCTTAATCATCTGAGCCTCGGTTGAGTATCAGGATCGAGTCTACAGTTTATTTTCCTAAACTGTATGGTTCTGTACAACACTGTACAGTATACCTATTCTACAGAATTGGAAAGAAAATCTGCATGAAAGCTCTTAGACAACAAGGTGCAGGGCTGGATGAACACAGCAGGCCAAGCAGCATCATAGGAGCAGAGAGGCTGACGTTTCGGGCCTAGACCCTTC